CCGATATAAGTGGCTTTGCATTCGATGCATGTAATCTCATAGATTACACCGGTCTTACCACAATCGCCAACTTTACCGGATGGACAAACTACACAGTCTTGGATTCTGCAGTAGTTGTCATATAGTCTGTTACGCACTAGCCGCTTCCTGATGTTGTCACTTGGAATATCAACTAAAATGATATCGTCTTTCAAGTTTGCACGGTTAATGCATCGTCGCACTGCAGCACTAGTTGCGTCAGAAACGAAAGGAAGGCAAAGAGGTATTTTCTGTTGGTGCTGGTTGCTTTGAATAGAAATGGATGGTCCACCGCGTCCTTTTTGGTGCGCGTAACCATTCATTCGAGCAATGTCCAGCGCCCATCTTTGAGATTCCTTCCGTTCTTCTTCTCCTGTGCATACGTTCGTTGCTGTTTTGAGCATGTTATGAATAACAGCTCTTTTAACAGCGATCGGATGTGCAGAACGAGCATTAATCAAGATGTTCTTGGAAGTCTCCTTACGATACCATTTTACACTCGCAGCGCCGTTGAACAGTTTGATCTGTACGTTTAAGTAGGGGAGCCAACCACTTCTCGGTTGCTGACGCGTGAACTTTATGTATTGTGACTGTTAATTAAGTAATCGAAAACACTCATCCATTTCGGATTGTGTTGATGTTATGATGCAACAGTCATCAATGTAACGGCAGTACATAAGAGGCATTCGTGACAGCACTGGTTCTTCTATTCTACTCATGAAGCAAACCGCCAGAACTGGAGCTAGTCTTTGTCCCATTGCAAGACCTCTTAGCTGAGTATAGTATGTTCCTGACCATCTAAAGATGTTACAAGAGAGACATTCTTTGATCAGGAGCATAACCGATCTTTTACTCAGCCCGAAAGTCTGGATCTTTTCACCAAAGTTGTCCAACATTTCCGAAACTGCCTGCAGAGCATCGTCGTTTTGAACATTCGTGTACAAGGACACGACATCAAAAGACTCTGCCACACATTGCGCTTGCAAAGTGGTGTTATGGAGGCGTTCCAAGAAATGATTCGTATTGGTCAAATGAGACGGGACTTTGTCCAGTAGCTGGTTAACAATCTTGTTCAAGAACCAGGATATTCGGTCGGTAGGTCCCCCTACGCAACTTATGATCGGTCTTATTTTCAACTGTTCCGCCGTTAAAATGCGCGCGTCATCAGCAGCGGTCAGTTTATGGGTTTTAACAAGACTATAAAAGACCGGGCACTCTGGTGTTTCTAGCTTCAGTCTGCTGAGAAAGCTCTCGGGAAAGCCAGCTGCTCTTCCTACATCCACCCAAACATGATTTAGTCGCTTGTATTGTGCTTGAAAATCTTTCTCAGTCACGCGGCGATAGATGGTCGTATCGCTAAGGTGAAGTTCTGTGATTTTCCGGTCCAAGATTCGTGGAAGAATCACAAATTCTCCCCCTTTGTCGCTTACTGAGATACGTACAGCTTCACTAGAGACTAAATCACGTATTTCCTTGTAGCCAAGCCTTTGCGAATGAGTCAAGTTGATCGGTTGCGGGTGCTTAGCTTGATAAGTATAAGCATTCAGCACACCAGCAGATAAAATTTTAAACTTGACGTCAGCTTCAGCCACTGGCTGAGGTTCTTTATAAAGCAAACTTGGAAAAGGAATGGGAGGAATTGTTCGTTTAACATTCTGTAGATTTCGGTCGTTCTCGCTAAGTCTAGTCCTTATTCTCAGCTGGTCTCGGAGTCTGTGTAAGCCACCGACAACTTTCCGAAAAACAGACCCGTCAACTTTTTGAGCGATGGAAAAAGAAGGGCCTAGAAACATCTACTAACCTCGGTCGGCTTACTAACTTACTCACACATATACTAACAATGCCGAGGTTTACGAAAGAGGAAACTTGGAAGCTACTAACTGATATACCGCCACGACTGTTTCCTCTAGTCAAAGAAGCTCTTTCGCTTCGACAAAAAGTGGTAACCCTCCGCCAGTCGATCAAATATCTCCAGCGGTGCAGGACGTCTGATACGGTGCCGAAATTCATTTCAAACAAGAAGTTAGGAGCACTATGCAGCCTCGAGGAAAATGACTTGAAGATGAAGAAGATATATCGTACGATCCTGACAGTCATTATCAAAGAAAAACACCATGCATTGTACTCGTACTTGTTGAAATGCACTCGTAAAGAAGATGCGTGCCGACGTCTCGTACCTGCTCGGACTTGGAGGAGGATTGAGAATGGCTCGAGATCGATTTGTGCTTCTATCCGATCTGAAGCCAAATCCAGACTCTGCGCTAAGTACGACAAGCTTCGAAGCGCTACTCACAAAAATTTGTATGTAAGTTTACCCAGTACGCGCGATATTTTGCGGTACTCTTACTCCTTACTGCTTAGTATAACTTTTTCTAGCGAATGTCTATTAAACAGCGGAGGTGTGTACCACTTACCAATACATATCTAATCGAACTAAAAGATACAGGAAAAATTGCTGCAAATGAGCAGGTTCTTAATCTTAAAAGCCGTCAAGCAGCGGTGGTGGTGCGCATATGCATATTAAGTTACAAATGATGCAAGGATGGATATGTAGTCGAAGTTGGATAAGTCACAATGAAATATATTTAGCAAGTTGAAAATCTTTTTACATGTAACAGTACCCAATTCATCTACTGATAGTTTTATACACATTTGGCCTTGCTCTTCGGCAGCACATTTATATCAAATGGCTACTGTAACTAAGAGCCGCATGCATGAAGTTGCAGCACTAAAAAAACGTCATTTTCTAAAGCCCGAGATATGGACTTTTCGCTGTACTTCTATGTTTTAATCCTTATGCTATCAAAACCAATCTTGAGTCATTTGTAACTTAATGTGTGAGGCTGCACACTAAATCCTATTAGCGACGGCACCCATACTAGTAACTTTCCTTTAAAAAATTTTCTAGTTTAACAAAGTGTAGAGATGTGTTCTACTGACTAACATGCAACCAACAAAAACAAAAAAATGAGGAAAGACAGAGAAATTACAGGAAATGAGCATGTTCTTGTTTCGCAGTTCGTCGGTCAGAGTGTATAGTGTGCACTATGCATATTAAGTTACAAATGACTCGACGATATAAACATAATGAACTATACCATTATCATTATGCCGGGTCTTATCCGTATGGTTGTCTTTTTGTACGGTCCCCTGATAAACCGCTTCTCAGAGCTAATTGCTTTTTTCAAAGTTAGTAAAAACGTTACGAAACCGCAGTAATCATCACTGATAATGATAAACATGTCACTGATAGGACTATTCTGAAGTAAAGAAAATAACGATAATCACAGTTCGAGACTTAGGGTTTATCAGAAAAACTCCGTTCTGTAATAAATCACTTGTCGTTATCAGAGACATGCTTAGCACTTCTGTGTAGACAATTTAGTACTTTGAGATGTTGTCATTAGTAAGAAAAAGGATTCTGGTGAAAAGACTGTCGGCCGCTGAGGAAACATGGCATACCCACAAAAAGCTGGAAAAGCTAGAATAACATGCAACTTTCAATATGTTCATACTGAGGTTTTGTAGAAACACTCAAGGATAAACAGATAGGGTGGAAAATTCTAAATTTTGGGATATGAAGCCCTGAAGCCTTCAAGCTGCACTTCTTATTCTTAGCGACGATTATGCACGCGGTCCTAAAAACATTTCAGTCATAAATGCTGATTTTGGAACAAGGAGAAGCCTTTTTATTGAAATCAATCCATTCGTGTCAAAGCCACATACTCAACCGTTGACTGCTGTCATCTTACGATGTGGCAAAAATTTTACTCGTTAAGCGTGCGATTTTTTGCTGTGAATGTAGACATAGACACTGTAATCCATTTGACTATATACAGCTGCGCTAGCTTCGGAGTGTTATATGTATCAGATTATGAAAATGAGTTAATAATGCAATATACTCAAAGGGCTTCGTGCGCAATGGATGCATCAGTATTGATTCGGATTAGGCTATTTTGATGACACATACATAACACAAAAGGAAACCGTTTGAAAAGACTTTTTGTGCCTAAAGGATGCGGTTTAAAAGAGAAACCAAGAAGTACACTTCGCCTTCTTACTGAAAAAGAACGTATTTCTTTGCACACAAGTTATGCAGCTTTTTATTTTTGGATGAAGATTATGATGTAAGCTACCAACGCAGCCATTTTTGCCAAATTCGCCCGACTTAACGGTAATAGTGCTTTGAGAAATTTTTAGATTGCTTCAGAATTTATGGAAACTGCCTAAAGTGTATCCATGCTACAAAAATGATACCCATTACGTAGAAAAAGCGCCTTCTTTCGTAACATGAAGGCATGATTTTCTTTAGCAACAATCAGGTCTACAGGGCTTATCAATTGCAGTGCCGGGTGCACCAGCTCTCCGCTTCCGCGCGGCCTTCGTCTGGATTCTGCACCTTTTTTGCAATCATGTTCTTCGATCACTTTCTCTGATCACCGCGAGCGTGGGAAAGGCGGAGCCTCAATCGATTGCAAGTGATTAGAGAGCATGTTCTCGAAACAGATGCGTCAGAGGAGAGTCCCGCGTGGGAGGAAATGCTGATGAACCCGACACCGCAGTTGACAAGCCTTGTACGTTGGTGTTAAGCTTGTCGATTTGTCCCATTGTGTGAAGCCTTGGCAAATTTTGAGGCTTGCTTTTTCCAGAAACAAGCGGTTTGCGCAGTGTAGCTCACATCGCAATTTGACTGCCAAAAACTGAGGGCGTCAAAAGGAGAAAAGTAAAAGAAGTTAGAAAACTTATGTGCCAGCGTGATACTTTCGCCGTAACGCTAATGAATGCACAACATCTCACTCTAATGGAAAATGCTTGATGATAAAGTAGGTGGCAGTGGAGGTGATGTTGCACTTCGCAAACATTGCAAAAGACAATGGCTCCTATTTATTAGTCGGGGCACTAATAACTTTGGAAAAAATGTTTGTAAAAGAGCCTCTATTTATCAAACTGTCAAAACAATATCCTCATGGATATTAACTCAGATGTAATGGAGGATATATGCAAAAAGCCTGGACATATGGAGTGAACAACGGGACATGTTCTGGTGGTCCATATTTGGCAAAAGTAAGTATGATTGTCGCAATTTTCTCATCATGACTCTTCAGGATTGTTGTAAACCATATGCTTTCCACCCCTGCGGCCAACACAAAGGCCAGCCCTACTATGCCGAATGTGAGAAACAAAATGAGAATACTCCGACATGCCGTGCTCGATGCCAATTCCAGTATAAGCAAGCCTACGCAAAAGACAAAATTAAAGGTAAAAAAACTTGTTCTAAATCTTCTGTTGCCGTTTCGTATTAAATCCTCATATGTATGGTATTGAGTATCGTTGGCGTATTACGTGTATGGCCTTAGCGTGCCAATTCGGATGCAAGAGGAGTTAATGGAGAGAGGACCATTTCAAGTTGGTTTTACGGTGTATGATGACTTCCGATATTACAAGAGTGGAGTATACTTTGTAAGTTATTTACCAGTCATTTCGGGAAAACGGTTTTTTTGTATAATGCAACAAAGATATGCACACAAGCTTTCGAGGCATGAAAAGCATCTTTGAGTTTATGTTACTCATTGCAAAAGGCAAAATTAGGTCGTTAGTTCGTAACCTTTTCATTCTTGGTCACATTTCTTCGAGAAGCGGTCGATTTGCAGCAAGGTGCGTATATTATTGAGAAGGAATGAGCAAGATCTGCAGTTGAACTTATTGCTGGATTCTTCGATCCCTTAGCTTTTATATATGAAGTTTCGATTTGCAGAAAGGATCATTCGACGCTTGCACACTTCTTGTTGTAGAAACAGGGGTTTTTGCACAGATTTTTTGCAAAAATGGCGTTTGCATGTCAATAAAAGATATAATAAAACTGTTTTGCCTCAGAAGACTAGAGTCAAATAAAAATTTCAATGAGCAAGAGTTTTCGAGGGAAAAGCACGAAGTCCTGCTCAAAAAAATTCGTCTGGACAAGTACATTAGGTCGACGATCCTTTACTTTGATTTTGGCAATTTCAGGCGTTGGTTAAACGACCTTTTTTGAAACCAGACGAGTTGCAGAAACTAACTGAAATTAGGTGTCATTGCAAGATGGCAAAAGGTTGAGCGCAACAGTGGAACATGCATTATTGAACATATTTGACAAAAACCTGTCATTCTCTAAGTTTATGAAACGCTACAAATTTATGAAACGATCTAATATGATCTAATATGAAAGCAAATGTGGGCGAAAATATCAGGCTGTTGAGTAAATTTTGCAACTCTCTTCATAACTTTACACTCTCAAAATATGGCGCGCTTAAACTTCGATATTATGTAGAATGCATTGTGTGCTACAAGTTGGCACAAACTGTTTGATTTTTAATAGTAATACAAAACTACTGAGATTGGAAAATCCACCGACAAGCAAAGATGAAGCAGTTCGCAGCCTGAACTAATCATATCGGGTTTGAACTTCTGCAAAATTATTGCCAGAGAATGGCTCTTTGATCACTATAATAAAGTTATGTAATTGGAGAATATTTCGAAATTTGGCGCCCTCGAAAAGTTGGCTAACGTAGCTGAAGGAAAAGTTGACGCTAATATCCGTCAATAATAAGAACGCAAAATCTCTTTTTCTACCGTACACCTACCGTATCCGTTACGCGGGTTGCCAGTATTTGGAACAAATTGCTGTATTTGTAGAATACATCGTTGTTGTTCATCATTGTTTCTAGCACAAATACGGATCGGAAGCGGGCGGCCATGCCGTAAAGGTAATTGGATGGGGTGTAGAAAATGGACTAAAATACTGGCTTGTTTCAAACTCTTGGAACTCGGACTGGGGAGAGAATGGTAAGTTTAATACAGCGGAGCGCCGTTTATGTATACATTTATAGGACTCTTCAAAATCCTTCGCGGGGAAAACGAATGCGGTATTGAAGAATACGGCATGGCAGGTAAAATGTCAGTGTGAACGTTCCGCCATGGTAACCAGTGGACGACTCCATTCATCGACATACTGTTTTACAACAAACGATAAATAATTATGTTCTATCTTTACTCGGTATAAAGGCATTGCACTATTCCATGTAAGAATCTCATAGGACAATCAACACTGGAAATTTTTTTTTTCAAGCCTTGAAAGCCGCAACAACAAAAGTTTTGTGCTTTGCGATTTTTATCATGCGCATTTTCTGCTGAGACTGAATTTTGATACCTCGGCTGTTCAGTGTAGGTTTTTATAAGTACTCAAAAACTCTTATTGACGCTCACTGTAAAAAATACTGCCGCTTTTACCTCTCAGGGGTCACAGTATATAGAATCCAACAATTTCATTTGGTAGGAAATTCCACTAAAACTGGTTTTGATACGATGCACTGATGGATGCAGTATGTGCTAACCATAGATATGCTTTCATATGCATCCACCCATGGGACAAAAAATATCGCAACCATTCAGAACAATTTTACTAATGCGATGATTCTGTTCAATTGGGGGAGAGAAAACGTGAACACATCGGATAGTATATGGAACTGAACAACGAGTGTTTTCACATTTGATATTGCCTTATTTGAACGCGGCAAAATTTACTGGGCTATCAAGACCTTTTAAGATGAAGTTTTTGTTCTCACAGCTTCCTGTTTAGCGTTTGAGAACACTGCATCTCAAATGACCATCTAATAAGATAAAAGAGCTACATAGTTTCGTCGAGACTAGTTGAAAGATGGCTTACAAATACATGCCTCAAGGCTTCTGATGGAATTTACAGAAACGGCATATGCCAAATGCAGTAGCCTGTCTGGGCAATGGTCTTTGAGATTTTCCTTGCAGTGGCGTAACTAGGATTTGTGCTCGGAGAGTGGGGGGGGGGGGGGGGGAGGGGGAGGGGGAGGTAGGGACAGAGAAATTTTTTTTGATGAAGGTGCATGGCGTTACGCGATCCAGAAAATTTGGCTTGATTTTCAAAATTTGCGCGGATCAATAACCCCAAAATATCAGAAAAAGACGCTGATGGCGCGCCCCCGAAAAAATTTTTTATAGGACTATGAGTTTTCAAAAAATATCAAAATTTAGTTCAAATATTTACAAGTATAAACAAGTCACTTGCACAATTTATAACTCATGTAACTTTCACCCCCTCCCCCTCGGTACTCCACTGCTTCCTTGATATATAAGCTCCTGCAAGACGAAAGCGGTCGGTTCGATGTGCAACGCGGCTGCGACATGGCTGCGTCACAGCAGCGTCACAGCCGCGTCACAGCCACGTCGCACCTCGACCAACCGCCTTCGTCTTGCAGGAGCTTATAGCCCCTAACTGCTACAGATTTTTTCTAAAATGTCTCCGCATTCTTCATTAGGCACGATACGATATGGAAGCATTAAGGGCATCTTATCAAAATGCGGCTCGTGCAAGTTCACATGGCCCAATTTTTTCGCAGGTTGAAGGCAGTAGCTCGGGAAAATTCCGCCATAACCAGCTAGTGACTCAGGATACTGTAACTTCACCTATTTTGGCGGCAATTGGCTGATCAGCCCAGGCAATCAATACGATACAGTTAACGGTAGTCCCTCGCCCCGCCTCTCCAGCAATCTCCAGGGACGGGAAACGCCAAAAAAGGCACTTTTTTGACTTTTCAAGCACACTACATACATACCTTACTCAGCTGGTCCAGAAGACCATGTAGCTGTGGAAATTCGCCTTCGCGATTTTTCCGTGCCACTGCCTTTAAAGCACAAAATACACCGTTCCACATGCATAGTTGCTTGATATATTGCAAACGCAACGAGCTTCTGACGTCTATTTTCAAGATGAAAAAACAAAAAATAGCTAGAGTGTCTCAGCTGCACCGAGCATTTCGATTTGAAATCACAAGAAGCTGCAAATGGGACTTTCTCAAAAAAGGCCGCATCACTTGAAGTGATCGATACAACAAATGTGACAATGAGGTTTTCCACTTTTTCTGTAAATCATAAGAAGTGAACGCATGAACCCACCTGCCTGTCGAGAACATCAAGGCTATATTTTTTCATATTTCCTCAAAAATTGTAACAAGCTTTCACTTTTCAGAAATTTCATTTGTTTCACTACCAGAACTAATTACTCATTTTAATAAATTCTATCAAAAATGCTTCAGTAAAGCGTCTTGGAAGCGTCTTTGCTTTTTCGTCTAACAATAAGAACTATGCAGCAGTTTCCTGCACAGTAAACTCTAGGACGAAAATGGCAAATGAATGGGACAGAATCAGGGGCATTGTGGAGCCGTACATTATCAGCGAGCTTGAGGTATCAAATTGGCGCAAAAGCTTTTGGCAAGATTTCAGCGTGGGATTGACTGCACACACAGTACAAACTGTATTAGATAAAAGCAATCTCTTTAAATCTTCAAGGGACAATCACATAAAAATTTGACCAAAATCGAAAACAGACTTCATACTCAGATTCAAACCATCTGTAGTTACCATGCATTTTCCATATACTCCACTTCACGCGACACGCGCGTACATGTACCCTTCGATTATACGGGATTGGAAGCTGGAGGCGGGGCTTTGAACCCTAATCAAGGCTCGGTATGATCAGCGAGCACGCTTACGAGAAAGACTCAGCTGCGTGCGGGGCGGACGGTCGCCTTCCAGCCGCCAGTCCAGTAGAATCAAAGGATACACGTGTGCAAAAGTTCCTGATAAGAACAAGAAAATTTTTTTGGTAATCCAAAAGTGAATTCAACATAGTCCCCATCGACTCTATCCGTACATTTGTAGTAAAATACAAGATTATATAAAAGAGTGATTGCTGCGCGTACGTCAGTGGTGGGAAATAACAATTTTAGCCGAAAATGTTTGAAAGCGAGCATGATAGATTCTGTTACAATCCTCATTAGAGGAGTCCTAGTCTTCAAGTTTTTTTTTTTTGAGCTAAAAAGCTCAACACTGAACTCGGAAATCTTATCCACTTTTCACCCAAAAAGTTCTATAAGGCTTTTTGCTTAGCTTCTAAGGAGAATTGCAGACTGAGTTATAACTGAGTGCCAAGCACTTCCTGTAGAATCATTTATCTCCAAAACGGTGCGGGATAGACAGCTGCAGCTAAAAACACCCTCAGTTCAGTGAATTTGCACCATAGTTTCATAGCAATTTCCCACTTGATGGAAACGGAGGAAGTAGGTAAGTCTAACTAGCGCTATGGTGTGTGGACCAATAAAATAGGAACTGCATCGCTTGCGCCTTACCTCTGCTCCACTTACTTCTTCAGACTCAGCGCAACACATCATCTATCATTACTGATGGCAACGAGAAAAAGTAAAAAGTTTTTTGATATGCTAGAGGCAGATGTAAGAGCCAGGGCTCGACACAGCTAGCACCGGGTCAAGCTGGATATCGTTTTTGGGACAAAAAGCGAAGGTATATCGTTTGTGTGGCCACAAAGACACAGAAACTGCGATGTTATTTCTAGTCGACGTTTCGTTTTTTAAAAGCAGTGGCTCTGCAAATCTCAACCTAGTCAAATTTGCGCTTACCTGGGGTTTTTGAATACGCTGATCCCAAAAATCCACTTTTGAAAGCCTGAAAACGGCGAAAACGAGCGTTTTTGAATGCCCTTCCTTTTGATATTGGACGAGTGGAGCAAGGCCGATGACGCTAAATCGTGGCAGGACCCAATGGTTATAGCGTTGCGGCGGGCAGCCTCCAATGGTGAGAAGGAAATTTCCAACTCGTCCAGATGCGTGTAAGATTGGCCTGCGCGTGTAAGTTTGAGACCGATTTTCACGGCAGGGAAAGCATGCTGTGCAACCGGGATTGCACTGTTTTCATAGTTGGGCGACAAGGAACCTATCGCATTGAAATCCCGAGTTGTTGGATTTTGCCGATCCACTGCCTTTGAGGTTTTTTACGTGCAGGGTTTAGGGTCAAAGGGGACATCGTACACAATTCCAAGATCAAAGGATTCGAAATTTTCCTGGTGCCAGCTCGTGCTGAGCCCTGGTAAGAGCTAACGATGTCCACGAACTTTTGATGCGACACATTTTCAATTAATTTTCACTTTACTAATTCGTGCCACTGTGTATACCTTTTGTTCATTGCAATAATGGAAGCGCCAGCTTTGTTTGAAAACAGCACTCTTATCAGCTTTGTATACTTTTACAATGAGGCTTTCGTGACGCAATGTCGATCACATTTATCGAGATTGGAGGCTTGTCTGATCTTAGCAGTGCAGCAAAAGTACATTAAATGAGGGAGAAAAGTAAGTATTATTTGAGAGACCTTCAAAAACAAAACTATCAGAATTCAATTGCATGCATGTGTACGCCGAATACTGGAAATCTGGATTCGGTTGGGCGAATAAAATATTCAAAGTAACTTCGAGGTACTTGCGCAATATACTTCATAGATCAAATTGAGGGAGACTCTCATTAACAATGCTGTGTTTGCTGCGCTTTTATTGTTTTCCGCTTAATTACATTTAAATAACTTATGGCAGAATCCGAAACTGATTAGTAGCGTAAAGCCTCCTTTGTATTCTGGGCATTGATTTTTGAATAATTTTGTTACCTCCAGCTACGGAATTAGTTTGTGAATATCGAGAATTGCTCTTCAAGTTTCTATTCAAAATCTTGGAAAAACTTATTACAGCGTTTTCTAAGGAAGATTTTAGCATTACGTAGCACAAATTCAAAATTAAAATTATCAGTGCAGTCAGAAAATTCGACGTTCCCAATTCTCTGAACCGAATTCAAAGCCAATTTTGATGCGTTCTTGACAGCTTGTTCCCCGACACTATCCGTGACAGTTGTAAAATGCCAACCTTCTTTCATTTTCAAGCTGCAAATTGGTGAATGTAGGTTGACGCGGAGAACACTTATAGAACTATGTACCATGTACCTAATACAAACAGGCATTTGCAACGCAATGTCAGCTGGACGAAAATGTAAGCACTTTGATTTTAGCATCGCGGTAAAAGTACACAGTTATATATGAACGCTTTCATTTCTAATGCCCCTTTGCTTTCATTTCTAATTTCTAATTTTGAACCAACCAA